ATTATATTTTTGATTAGGAAATAAATTGTGAAAGTCAATTCAACTACTTCGTATATATTTGATTGATTTGTAAATTTATCAAAAGTTTTGAAATATAAACTGAAATATCCCAAAAATACAGTTCAAAATTTTTGTTTTTAGATCATTAATAAAACCATAAAAATCATCATCATAAACCATGTATCACAAAATGTCATAACTATCAACATAACAATCTCATATTAATATCAGAGTAAATATCTCAGGCTAAAACTATGGTGTGTCATGCGATCATCACGAACCTTTCCATTTGCTAGCAGAAGTACCTAAAATCAAAATTGAAACTGTAAGCACAAAGCTTAGTGAGCTCCCCCAAACTACCACATACCATACACATATACATGTAACTAGGAGATATGAGCCCCACCTACACTCATGGAGATACGAGCCCCACTCACACTCCACTAACTGGGATATACGAGCCCTGCCCACACTCGACTAATATGAGATGCGGGCCCCGCCCACACTCGGCTACTATGAGATACGGGCCCCACCCACACTTAGCTACTATGAGATACAGGCCTCGCCTACACTCAACTACTAACATGCATACAAGTATCACACAGATGACAAGTGCATCTACAAAGATCAAACAATCATATATATCCATACTTAAATAATGCTATGAGATACGGGCCCGCCTACACTTTACTAACTACGAGATACGGGCCCCGCCCACACTCAGCTACTAGTCATACACATAACATATATGGGTCGGCCTTTTCCTACCTTCGACCCATTCTACTATAGGAAAACTCACCTCTCAAACTGGATGTTGAACTCGTGCTTGAGGAATCTCTGTTACATTTTGATGTTTGGCAGGATCAAGCAAATGGAAGGCAACTTAAAGGAAGAGTATGATGAATCTGTTCGTGAAGATGGATTTCAATCGCATGGTTCGAAGATCGGATTCTTGAACTGCTACTTAGGAGTTATGATAGATTGCTAGGAAATATATAATAACATAGTTTTCATTTAAAGTTGCATTGTAAGGAAAAGTTTTTTCTGCATTTTATAAATAAATACAATTTTGTTCTACTTTAGTGAGTTTATTATTATTATTATTATTATTATTATTATTATTATTATTATTATTATTATATATATATATATATATATATATATATATATATATACTGCCCAGAGGACAAACACATAACAACTAAGCCAAAATATCAGACGAGATCTGCACGTGTATAGAAAGTTAGCAAAAAATATCATATACTGCCTAGAGGACAAACACATAACAACTAAGCCAAAATAAGAAACACCAGCATAAATCAAGGACGATTTCTGCAAAAAAAAAAAAAAAACACGAAGTTTATTATTCCTAACAATTGTCCATATATATATATATATATATATATATATATATATATATATATATATATATACATACTAGCCGTTACCCGCGCACAGCGGCGGGGACAAATAGCTTCTTTCAACGATATTTTTTTAAAGAAAAATGTTATGTTCCAAAAGAAAGTTCATGTCGTGGGTGAGAGGAAGGGCGGTAGTCGTGATAGTGGTTGATTGAAGGCGAAAGGAGGCAGAGCGGCTGTGGTGGTGGTGGTTATACTGTCTTGGTTACTGGTTAGGGTTCTTCGAAAGAGTGTGCGTATATTTCTTATTTTGAAGGGATTACGAAGATAGATATTATGAGATTGTTTGTTACCAATGTGAGAGAAGAGATCCTCTATAAATTGTTGACATTGACCGCTTCAAATGGTTGAAATGTTGAGATTGACGGGTTCAATTTGCAAATGAATTCTACTATTAATTTGATACGAGATTTTTAAGGGATAAAGGATATGGTTAAAGTTTTAATATTATTATATTATAAATGGGTTGTACTTCAAGCTTAATAGTTTGGACGTCTTAAAAAAATAATATTATTATATTCAATATATTTATAGAAATAGTTAGATTTCTTTTATATATATATATATATATATATATATATATATATATATATATATATATATATATATATATATATATATATATATATATATATATATATATATATGAATGACAATTTCCTCGTATTATATTTCTAGTTCAAAGTCAACATTAATTTCCAGTTCGTTTTGATTATTTAATTCTTATTAGTGTGACTTTATTTATCTATTTTGGCCTTTTAGTTATTTATTTAAATAATTGATTAAAACAAAAGTTATTTTACCCTCAAAAATTAAGATGTTACAATTATCATACAAAACACCTATGGATACTCATTCATGCAAGAAAACACCAAAAATTAAGATGTTACAATAATTACAATTAGTCAATTATCATACAAAACACCTATAGATACTCATTCATGCAAGCAAACACCAAAAATACACAACAAATACTATCTTTTTCTTACGGGTCCATATGTAAACACTAACTTGATTCTCATACTCCCGTTTACATGTGAAACCCACTAACCCAAAATTCCCATGTACAAATGAAACCCACTAACCCAAAATGTAGGCCCAATAAGCATCCTAAAGTAAAGGCAATACATGAGAGAAAAGGGGACTCCCGCGGGAAGAGGACTGTACCCATAGTACAATCATGAGTCAAATATTACCTCTAACATTAAATAAATGTTATTTTTAAATAACTATTTGACAAACATTTTAACGTCATCAAAATAATAACTTAAATAACAAAAAGTTCATCTAATCATTATCAACTTGTATAATATTATTGTTTCTTACAATCAATAGTCATTACTTTATAACCCTTCTGACTCGACGATTACGAATGAAGTTATTAGGTAACTGGTGAAAAAGCAAGGTTTTGTTAACTCCCTCTTCTTCACCACTCGTAATGGACACCCTTCCCCTTCTTCATGGACCTTCCATGGCCAAACGCCCTTGTTGTTCTGATCCTTCCATCGCTAAAACTCAATCAACTATGTTGCCGGAATCTGACAACGATGCGGTGTTGAAATCTTTCTTAGGTTTCTTCGATTACGACTCAATCAACACCTCTTTCGACAGTCTCATCGAATCTAGGTCTTCTGATCCGATCAAAATGACCTGATCCAACGCGCTCTTCACCTCGGCTCTCTTCTCCTCGAAGCCGGAAAACGGTCCGATCGTAAACGATCATCCTCACACAACGCCGTAGTATGGCCTCTGCCTCCTGATCTCATGATCAAGGTACTTCGGAATCTATATTGGTTTTGAATTGTTTGTTTGTTTTTTATTTGTGCATTTAGTTAGTACAACTGATATCGTTTTAGTCGAATTCGATCCTGGATGATGAACTATGATATGAATGATGATTTGTAGGTTTTTGCTATGCTTGATACTCAAAGCGTTTGTTATGCTGCGGCGACGTGTTCATTTTTTCAAAAGTGTGTTGCGGATCCTTTGTGTTTTTCAAACATCGACTTAATTACGTTAGTTCCTAAGGTCAACAATGCTGTAGTTTCTTCCATGATTCGGCGAGCTGGAAATGCACTTCAGTAAGCTCTCTTTTCTGTGTGTGGCAGCGAGTATATATTGTTATACGATGTCAGTTTTTGATTGTTATTATGTGAGAAGCCATGCATGATCATTCTTACTTAATTAATACCTAATGAATTGGGATGTTCTAGGACATTTATTCAGGCACAATTCTGTTTCTGTAAAATGTTAATATCTTGTGCTAGTGAAGTCACAACGTTTGGTTCTTGCCAAGAATAAGGAAAAATATATAACTACAAGGTTGCACCAGTTGCATATATGATAAAGAATGCCCCAACTTGTTAAAACTGTGTACATATTGCAAGGAACGAGGACATAACATGGGTTTGTTCCAAGCCTTCTCCTACTGTTGCTTAGTCTCCATGTTTGAAACAAACATGTACTACCCACTAACACCTCATGCAGTTATTATATTCTGTGCTTGGATGTGTTATTAATCATTCAATAGGCTGCATATGTTCAAGTATCATACTCTTAAATGCGTTACTACCTTATGTGGTAAAGTGGTGATAGCATGTTTGAATTGGTTTAAAGTATAATATCCAATCTTGCGTTATGTGAACCTTCATTCACACATCACTTGCTAAATGCTAATGTTTGTTAATTCTTCCATAAGTGTGCATTGCAATTTGCAATATGCATATACTTACAATGAGTTACAAATTACTTGTGAAGGTCTATGAAGCTTGGTGTTCTCCCACCTTGTACACCTCCTCTTTTCTGTTCATCAGAGCCATTAGTTTACAGTATTAGGAACTCTACTGATGCATCAGGAGCTTCATGGAACGACAAACAATGATCCAGACAAGGAAAAGAGTCCTGTATTCTAACAAGGTCCTGCTTGAGTTCCTTGAGTGCGAATGGTGGTGCACCTGGGTATGTTGTGATTATATTAGAATAACTCATCATATGGCCTTTATGTTTGGACGCTTTCTCATATGGCCTTTATTTCAGGGGGTATGTTGTAAATACTTTCAGCCTGTTTTCTTTTTAGCTAATTTATCGTTAAAATAAAAACTGCGAAAACGCTTTCTGATTTTACCATGTTTGGTTTACAATTGAATATTTCTTCATTAATGCTATCCCCTGAAATAAGTACCAAAATCTAGGGACCAACATTGAAAATAGAAAGCATGAGGGACCATTTTTATAATTTAGATCGACTGCAACCTATTTATAAGTAAAGGGAGTGGAATGGACAGTTTTAATAAATTGTTTGTGTATTTGATTTATGCAATAATATTTTATTTTATTTTATTTTTCCTCAGTTTATATAACAAAATACTCTGTATATTATGAAATGTGCGACGACATTATTGGTAAAAAAATGAAACATATTATTATTTAATTGGTGCATTGTAATGACGCACGGCTGTAATATTGCATATTTTGTCAGATTAAATATGGCATATTTCCTTTACAGATAATTTGTGGTAAAGAAATGTTATTACATAGATACATTCTAACCCTACTTAATAAAGATCATTTCTGTAGGATTTAATTCGTTATCTTTATCTTCATATATTATTACCGACAAAAATATATATTGAAATCATATTTGTAAGAATTCTTTCATAGATAAGATAATATTATTTTATAATACATTATTTAATTAACTCACTTATTTTGAAATATTATATAATCTATTTATTGTATTATACTGACATTCAAATTTTCTGTGATAACTTGTACAACTGTTCATTCTTAATCTTTAACCAAATTGGGGTTTGAATAATAAGAGGTGCATGGTGAATTGGTGGACGTGTAACCGATTATTCTCTTTGGGTCTATAACCAAGGGAGAATGAATGTACATGGACAAGAGGCGTGTTCTTCGGTTATTGTACACACCTTACTTTCACAAAACTTTTTCAAAGGCTTGTGATGAGAGCTTTCTGTCCGGTGAAATCTAAAGCTATATGACCGGTCAGACTGTCGCAATTCGGGGTAAACCAATAAACCATATTTAAGGGTCAAATGCCGAAGTTTTAAATGGTGAGTTAACTAAATGCAATTTATTTTTTTAACTCACATATTTTATTCGGTCATAAATATATGTAACTTGAAAAGCTCAACAACCGTTTCAATAAAATAAACAAGATAGACACTATCTACTTCTATGGCTTATTTGTGTCTAAATAAGTTTTATCATAACAAATTCCCATATCATGATATTTGAGCACTCAATGCTTATGTTATGAATATACATAGAGATGCAATGTTTAATAACTTGATGATTATATTATGGATGTGCATGGAGATACAGTTATGAATATACATAGAGATGCAATGTTTAATAACTTGATGATTATATTATGGATGTGCATGGAGATACAATGTTTAATTACTTGAAATAAATTGAAAACTTGGCAAAGATGATGATCGAAAAAAAAAAAAAAAACATACAACAAACAAAATGGTAAACTTTACCATCTACACCATTCATGTTGAACTCGTCCCAAGGTCATCATGTGTGAGGTAAATCATTAAATAGTAATAATACTTTGGGCTCCATGGTGGACTGGCAGGGTGTGCGTCTTTATCAATGATGTTGATAAAGAATGATTTGTTCAATAAGATAAATGATTTATTTATGAATGATTGTGTAGTTACGTACGTTGAGAAAGATAGGTTTGATAGTATTGACATTTGACAACGATAATTTATAGATGATTTTCAAAATATGAATACTCGTTATGGACAATTATAAGACATTAGTATTTTTTTTTTAAATAACATTTTATCTTTGGCATAAAATTATACTAGCCTTGGATATTATTATTATTCACCAGCCAACCTGACTACAAAACGTTTTCAACTCAACTGTTTAAAACTGGTACCTGAATTTCGAGGATCAATCGGGTCTTTTTTTTTTTTCTTTTTTTTTACCAATGTAGTTACTCCTGGTTTGGGAGTTTTTAAACCAAACATGTGCAATCCGGATCAAGGCATGTTACCATTCTTTGGCCAGTGTCGTACTACCGGTTTAGAAAAGTCGTCAAAGAGTGTTGTTGCTTATTATAAGTAAATTGATTTTTAAGGACGAGCACGTAATTACTTAATTATTCTTAATTGTATCTAGTAGTTATTAAATCATAAAGTTGATGATTAAAGTCTTAATGCAAAAACCTTTCTATTCTTGAAAGAAAATGGAGACTTTGCATTTTTTTTTTAAATAAAAATAAAAAGAGATGTTAATTAGGACTAATTATTTTGAGAAAATAAAAAAGAAGAGATACTACACCCACCACCTATAAATACCACCCAGATTTGCTTCTAGAGACTTGTTGCCTCGGTCTAAAAAATGGGTAGCAACAGTAACACAAACACCGTCCAACCACCACCTCAATACGCTCCCTACCGCCTCGTCAAAACCTTAACCGCCCACCAATCCGCCGTCTCCTGCGTCAAATTCTCCAACAGCGGCAAACTTCTCGCCTCCGCCTCCTTAGACAAATCCCTCATCCTCTGGAATGCCGAAAACCTAACCCTAATCTCCCGCCTCAACGGCCACACCGAAGGCGTCTCCGACCTCGCCTGGTCCTCCGACTCACACTACATCTGCTCCGCCTCCGACGACAAAACCCTCCGCATCTGGGACGCACGCGCCGCCGAATGCGTCAAAACCCTACGCGGCCACACCGATTTCGTCTTCTGTGTAAATTTCAGCGTTCATTCGAACCTCATCGTCTCCGGATCATTCGATGAGACGATTAGGGTTTGGGACGTAAAAACAGGGAAGACTAATCACGTAATCAGAGCTCACTCGTTACCCGTGACCTCCGTGCATTTCAACCGAGACGGATCGCTGATTGTTTCCGGCAGCCACGACGGTAGCTGTAAGATTTGGGATACCGCAACCGGAACCTGTTTGAAGACGCTCATCGACGATAAGGTTCCAGCGGTTTCTTTCACCAAATTCTCACCTAATGGAAAGTTTATACTCGTCGCCACACTTGACGATAATCTGGTTAGTTAATATCCTATGAATTTATTTGGATATCTATTGTTTAATCTTCTTCTAGATCTAACAGTTAGTTTATAATTTGTAATCTATAATTTATACTACTGTGAATGTAGAAGCTCTGGAACTACTCAACTGGAAAGTTCTTGAAGATGTATACAGGTCATGTAAACAAAAAGTATTGCATAACGCCTACGTTTTCTGTGACAAATGGTAAATACATCGTGAGTGGTTCAGAGGACCATTGTGTCTACATTTGGGATTTACAGGGGAAGAATCTGCTTCAGAAACTAGAAGGGCATACTGATACGGTTATTTCTGTAAATTGCCACCCAACAGAGAACATGATTGCGTCTGCAGGGCTTCTTGGTGATCGAACAATTAGGATATGGGTTCAACCAAGTTAAGGAGGAAATCTAAAGCTGTTTTGTTGTGTATCTACTGTTACTTCTGTATACCTAATTCAAGACTTGTAAAATGAGATTAATTATGGTCATTCTGGTTAGGAAAAAGATTTCAGTAATTTTACTTGAAAGTAGTTTACAATTTACATACCAAAATCGACTCACTCGTGCCTGGCATCAGTTGATGATGGTTTTTCAAGCAAAAGATTAAGGACTGTTTCTTAAACCAAATGTGTCTTCAACACCACTGGTGACCTTCTTCCTTCTCTCAGCAATCATTTCCTTATATGCCTGAATGAACAAAAAGAAAGAAAGAAAAAAGCATTTAAGACCTGATAGTATCAGCCACACTGTGAAAGATGAATGATGAAATGGTTCTAAGTTGTCCATACTTCATACCTTTGGGTAAGAATAGAGAAAGATGTACCACCAGGTGCAGATTAAAGTGGAAGCAACTGAAGTGGCTAAGACGTTGTGCAATATTAGCCAGCTTCCACCAATGATGGATGTTCCAGTGAGGGCAATTGTCCATGGTTGACACCTAAAACAATAAATTAATAAGCATTGAATGAATCAATCTCAACCATAAGGCCTATTGATTTTTATCTATGGATCATCATGCACTTGTAGATGTGGAAGGCTAAAAATTTTCAAGTGTCATTTATACAAACAGCTAAACTTCAATTCAAAAGACAATAGCTGCATGGGAGTGTACCATAGATACTAAAAAAGCATTGATCTGTCGTGTTTTTTTTTTATCCCTTTCTGATTTCTGAAATCAACTTCCCAATGCAATCAGAATGATCCGCCAGTAATTTTCACATCATACACTTCCTCGCAAATTGTACATGTCAAATGCTAAGAAATTCTTAAAGTGTCGTATATAAAAACAGCTAAAGCTCAATTCAGAACCACAGTGCATTTGGGAAAAACAGAGATACGGACCAACGCATTCGTTTCTATCAATCAACTTCTAAATGCGCAACAATTATCTATCTGAATGGATTCAGGCTCTAGCTTAGCAACCGCAACAAATACAGGAATTAAGAAGATAAAAGAGAAAAGTGGATTAAAATTTACCAAGAAGGTTTGGTGTCCCAAACTGAATCGTACTCGAGTGAAAGGTAGTTGAGATATCCGTCCATGTCTTCCACCACGCCTTCCTCATCCAGGAACCTGCTCGAGCTCGACTTGTACTCCTCCTCCTTTGATTGTCCGTTGGAGGAATTGCTGCTGTGAAGGCGTAGGGTTTTAATGCCAAATTGAGATTTTCGAAGACGAAGACCGTATTCCGGCCGGAACACGCTGCCGGAGCGATGAGATCCCGGAGAAGCAACCACCGTTGGAGGAGCAGAGCAACGAGAGAAGAGGGAGATGGTTATCATTATCGCCTTCTCGTTTTGATGCGCTTCTGTGCTGTGAAGTGTAAATTGTTAGCCTCCCAAAATTTGCGAAGTGTCAGACTAGAATAGAGGCACGACGTCGTTGGGGAGTAATTTGAAATGACATGTTAGACCCCTCGGATTATGTCATTATACAAAAAAGACTACTCAAATTTTACACATCTTTAAATATTCCTCCAAATTTACGTATAAGAAAGGGATATATACAACTAGGCAGTTATAGCGGTCCAATATCAAATATCGGTTAAGGGCCAAGATTTGAGATATAGGTTATCGCGGTGGGATATCGGTATTTATATATCATGCATAATTAATATGTATAAACGTAAAACATATATAAAAGTAATATAAAAAGTCAAAACTCAAAACTATCAATGTTCTAAACATAATCTTACGTAAGTCATGAAATTTTCCTCCAAGTCCACATCAACCAAGATATCCCATTATTTTATCTAGATCTTCCACATCAACTCTAATATCGTCATCATCGTCATCATTTGAGAATTAAGTACTTAACACATCAACATGATCAAACCTATAGAAATTAGTAAGTTAACAGTTAACATAACAGTGAGATTGGTTAATACTTAAAACATGAGTTTATGACCTAAAACTAATAATTAAGAACTTAACATAATAGCAGGTTCAGTTAAGTTAAGACCATAAGACTTAAAGCCATGAATTAACACTAAAAAAAGCAAGTGAAATTACTTAACCGATATGCCACCTGGAAATATCGGTTAAATATCGGTAAATATCACCGATTTTTGTGGTCCGATATTTTGGACCGATATTTGACACTGCTATTTTGAAAAGTACCGATATCCCACCTGGAAATCATATTGAAATCGCCGATATTAACTACTTAGATATACAGTAAAGTCCCAATATTTTCATCGATTTGACAAAAAGTCCTAAACTTTATTTTTTTCACAGTAAAATCCAAATTACTGGCAGTTTTTGACACTTTTACCCTTTTTTCCGGTTAGCTGTTTTTGTCAAAAAAAAAATAAAGTTTAGGACTTTCATGTCCTATTTTCAATTAGGACTTTACTGTCAAAAAAATAAAGTTTAGGACTTTCTTGTCAAATCGTTGAAAATATTGGGACTTTAGTGTATATATAATGTTTTTTGGTTAGAAATTTAATTGTATGATACTCTTTAAGCATAAGAATTATTGAAACATTCTCTAATCAGCTAGATCTTATTAAAATCCTTAAGGTTTGCTTCTTGTTAAATTGTTTTTTTAATCTCAACAAACCGACATTGAAAAAAATAGAGATAATCAAGAAAGAAATAAAGAAATAACCAGAGTTGTGTTGACTTTTTGCAATCCTAAAAATGGAGAAATAAGAAACCGAAAAAAACGAAATTGTCCTGGCTTTATACAAACACAAACAACACATGTCTAGTCAAAAGGGTGTGAATGTGGAGAAGGAAAGAAGGGCAATTTCGTTTTTTTCGGTTTCTTATTTCTCCATTTTTAGGACTGCAAAAAGCCAACACAACTCTGGTTCTTTCGTTCTTTCTTTCTTGATTATCTCCATTTTTTTCAATGTAGGTTTGTTGAGATTAAAAAAACGATTTAACAAGAAGCAAACGTTAAAGATTTCAATAGGTTTTAGCTGATTAGAGAATGTTTCAATAATTCTTATGCTTAAAGAGTATCGTACAATTAAATTTCTAACAAAAAAAATTATATATACACTAAAGTCTCAATATTTTCAACGATTTGACTACAAAGTTTTAAACTTTATTCTTTTGATAGTAAAGTCATAATTAACAATTTAACAAGAAAGTCCTAAACTTTATTTTTTTGACAAAAAAGTCCTAATTACCGGCTAACCGAGAAAAAATGATAAAAGTGTCAAAAACTGCCGGTAATTTAGACTTTACTGTCAAAAAAATAAAGTTTAGGACTTTCTTGTTAAATCGATGAAAATATTGGAACTTTACTGTATATATCCATATAGAAAAACATACATACCAGTTTGACCGATTTAAACCCAAAAAATGTTGGTTAAATCTATAAGGTATGCTTGATAAATTATAAAACCATTTGTCTAAAAACATCATAGTGCTACTCAATATCAAAAACCAATGTATTCATAATCAAAACATATCATGAAAAAATAATATCAGAGTATAAATCTCATAGATCTTATGTACGGAAATCCTGGTGTGATGCGCTGCAATCATGCCGGCTCATTTCCCTTCGAAGAGGAAGTACCTAAAACCAAAACTGAAAACCGTAAGTACAAAGCTTAGTGAGTTCTCCCATCATACCACATACCATACAATAAACATACTGTCAGACATATATGGGTGTCCGACCTATCATGCTGAGCATACCAGGGTGCTCAACCTACACCTGTTAGGCATACCGGGGTGCCCAACCTACCCCTGTCAGACATACTGGGGTGTCTGACCTACCCCTATCAGACATACCGGGGTGTCCGACCTACCCCTGTCAGGCATATCTGGGTGGCCGACCTATCCTCCGGTTTATCTCAACCAGTTATAGGGAACTATTTCACTTTTACCACTACCATATAATAACATATCATAAACATACTACTAGGCATATATAGGTACTGTCTACCCCTTCGGTCTCTTTCAATCAGTAACTAGGGACTATTTAACCCCTCCTACCACTATCGCATAATGTCATAGCATCCTAGCACATAAAGCCTAACAGATAGTGGTATACCAGACAATTATCACAAAGACAATAATGTCAACTATAAACAACTACTAGTGGGCTGGCATTGTTGCCTTCGACGCACTTCTACTAGAAGGTAACTTACCTCGATAACTGGGAATAGCTGCAAAGACTCCTGCTCTGAAATCAATCTCTCTCAGACTCCTACACATAAACATTTCCTTTAATTATCCTTCCATACTCATGACCTCATAAGGGTCAACTTTAGTCAAATTCAAAGTCAAAGTCAACACCATGGTGAAAGTCAACATCTGGTTGACTCAACTCGTCGAGTTAGTCCATCAACTCGTCGAGTTCTATGAATCATAAAATATTGAAATCGCGATCCAACTCGTCGAGTTTCTCCTTATAACAAAGTCGAGACTTCTCCAATCAACTCGTCAAGTCATCATTCAACTCGTCGAGTTTTGCCCTTTACAGACTCGAGACACTTCGACCCAACTCGTCGAGTTCCTCTATGGACTCGACGAGTTCTTTAGTCTGTTAAGTCATCTTAATAGATTAAGCTCTTATCCTTCAGGTCTAATCCCCTACTTCATCTACATGTTGAAAATGTCTTCTTATGGGTAAAGTTTCCAACTTTACCCGTTAGTAGCCATTCTTATTGGTTTTAGCTCAAACCCTAATCCTTTAAGACTTACATCTTGATCCATAAGTCATAATACTCCAAACTAAAGCATAAAAACTGAGATCTAGACTCTAGAAACCATATGAACATGTAAAGTCCCTGGCTTTCCCTCCATGCATGGCCTTTTGGAGCTTAAAAGATCAAAATGACACCTTAAAGCTTGCATGAGACTTCCATGGCCATAAATTTTGCACCTTTATGCCATGAAAGTCTTCCTAGACCACAGATCTGAAAGAGCAATCGCTTGGGACATCCAAGTCTCAGAAGCTAGCATTCGTGGACCAAAACATGGAGAAATCACTCCAAACAGTACAAATAAAATTACATTTAGTGGCATAGAAAAGGTGTCACTAAAAACCAAAAAAGTGTCACTAAAAGCCCCCTGGACAATCAGCGGCACAAAAAAAAGTTCCACTAAAACCACTGCCACTAAAAACCTTTAGTGGCACTTTCTGGTTGTGTCAGTGCAACCTTATTAGGTTTTAGTGGCACTTTTTTATTATGCCACTAAAACACTTACAGGTTTTAGTGGCACTATTTTATGACACTATATAACTTCTAAAACAAATGTTATTTTCATACTTTTAGTTGCACTTTTTAACACATAAAATATGTTAATAAATTAGGCCTTATTTCATAATAGAAAATAATAATAATCAATTAAGATGAGAAATGGAAACACAATATTATTACTTAAAATAAAAGTTTATTTGTCTAACAAGAGTCGCTCCCTATATATCATTTATAATAAGGTTAATATAAATGTACTCCATTACATTCAGATAGACCATATTCCATTACATTCTACTGCATTACAAGATCCATATACTTTATTCCTATACACCCGAGTGTGGTCACCCTACAACTCCTTCATCATGTCCAAGGTTGAGACTGAATTTTGTAGACACCGTGTTACTCACCCTATATTGTGAGAATATTTTCCATTTCTTCGTGTGAAGCTACAAGAAAGAGAATAAAAGAAAGTAAGAATTGTAAAAACATGGAATTTTATCAATATTATAAAAAAAATAGTTTTTTCAACTAAAAATAAATGATTTTCAATATGAACAATCAGATTTCATGATATAAAATAGCCAGACTTCTAGCATTAATAAAATACAGATATTCAGTAAAAACAAAATTTCAGTAAAAATAGATAATAAAAAAAACTTACCAGTACCAGGGCTAATTTTGGAATTGAAAGATTTACTCATTAGAGATGATAATGATGGAAGTGATTGTCTCCTCACTTGGTTTATATCTGCAACAAATACAATCCAACAAAATTACAATTTAAGTAAAGATGTTTAGAAACACAAATGGCATCCTATGATGACTTTAACGATTCTTAAGATACATAAATAAGTTGTTATAAAAAGGACTACTACTACTACAGGGATGTTACAAATGAAAACGTGAATCGCGGGGTAAAATCTAACTAGTGTGACTGATATTTGATAAACACGATTGTTAAACATATTAAGTTCAATCAACAAAAATCATTATTAGAAGAATACAAACTGTAAATTTATACTAATGTTAATCATCACATTATGAAGCTCCAAACCATGGTGTAGAGATGAACAAACAAAAAGCCAACGCAACTATTAAAAAAAACATTTCGTTGTAGGAGTCTAACACTAGAATACGAATTACCTAGGATTTAAGAGGCTCGGTCATGCGTTTCATCTTGGAATTCTAATTATACATCTCAAGAAATTATATACATCCTCACTATCCAGAATCTTTCTTGTCTTACTTAGTTC